ACAATACCGACAAGTGATTAATAAAAGTCAAAAGACCAAAGAGGTCACCTTAATACCAAAAAAAAAAAAAAAAAAACAAAAAGGATATTCTGTTTTTCTCTTCAAAGAAACTTCTTTTAAACTACCTGAAGAACTTAATTTATTTTATAAAAATAAAGAGAAGAATTGTTTTTTTCCAGAGTGTGATAACAAATTTTTACGAGAAAAGAGCTCAACTTACTAAATATTTGGATTATGATTATATTATTGAAGATCATAAACACGAGGATATCAAAATATTTAATAAATTTCTAGTTGATAAATATGAAAAGGATTATATCGATAGGAAAGTTGATAAGATTAGATTTCTTTCTCTATATAAGATTGTTTTTGTAAATCCTCTTCTCGAAACTACAATTGATTGTAAAAAAAATGAAATAGAAAAGGCGAGAAATGTCCTATTCAATATTTAAGAGATCTTTATAATTTTTATCAAACCAATATTGATGTAATTTATAATGAACATATCATGTTCAAGAATGAAAATGTTTTATGTAAAGATTGTCTTAAATTTTCTCAATGTAAAATGAATTGTGATTTCAGCTTCTATGAAAGTCTTTTTGAGCAACTATTATAAAAACATCTATCTTAACAAATATTTAATTTAATAAACCAAATATTTTTTCAATTCGGTAAATAATATTAAAAATGAACTATAATAATTCATCAAGTTCTTCAAATCTTTTAAATGAAAATTGTGATGAGTTTATATTAAAGGAATTAATAGAAAATAATAAGAGAAAAAAGTCTTTATTTTTGTCAATTTATCAAACTGTTTTATACAGTTTGAACCGTAATATAGAACTTGATAAAATACAAAGAGCTTTATTAATCAATCAAATAGATATTACTATTGGATGTCATATTGCAAAAAATACTTTTTATCAAAAAGATGTAATTGAAAATATTGAAGAACTCTTGAAAATTAAGCAATTTATAACAGAATTATCTAAAGATGATATTATAAAATATTTAGATAAAGTTATTAGAAGAAATGTAATTTCTGACAATATTATTATATTTATAACATTATTTCTTAAATTTTTTATTTTTTATTATCATTGTAAAACAATTTTTTGTTATTTTTCTTTAAATTATATTTATCTACTTAGTTATTAACCAAGTAGATTATTTAATATGTAATTCAAGATGAATTAGAAATTTATTGAAAGATGATTTATTGAAATATATTGAAACTGTTTTTTATCTTAATGTTATTGCAGATATTATCATAGTTAATAAGAATTAGTTTATATTTATT